TACGGCACATATGATGAGTACAATCGTTGAGATAATTATCATAACTATTAGTCCAGTCTTTACGCGATCTATGGTCTCATCACTCGATTCACGAATTCTTGCAGTCGTTGAGGGAGTCGTCGACTCGTGAGCAAAGATCTCACCATTTAATGCCATCATATGAACCAAATTTATAGATATTATCTTCATTTTAATAATTGTTTTTATTTGCAAATGTTTGACACAAACGGTTTTGAAAAATCTAATCAATTAAATTTTATATTGAAATTCAATTTGAAATAAAGATTGAATTTTAAATTGAGTTTAATTTAAATCACAAAAATATAGCAACAATTGGTAATTATTTATAATACATGATATTCTTTGATTACAATTATTATTATTATAATATTTAGTCAATTACTTCAACTAACAATAGAGAGCTTAAAATACTCTTTAAATAACCGAATCAATCGATTATCAGTATTTCGACGTAATTTGGCAAAAAATATTTCACAAAAAACTGGCAATTATTTGGTTGATTCACATTTATGGCCACAATGTTATCCATTTTATTCATTAAATCTTGTGTCACATATTTCTCATCAATAGCCCACTCGTGGTATGTCTTCAGCACATCCTTACACTCGGGTCTGTCCTCCCAATTGGGGGACAAAGACATGAAAACCAATACTTCCCGTAATTTAATGACACATTTGTTTAAGACCTCATCATCTGATGAATACGTTTGCGGACTATATCAGTGAATAATACATCAATAGTTATATTAACATATTATGTACTGTATATTAATTTTAAAAATTTTACTCGACTTACGAATTGTCATTGAGGTTGAAATCAAATATTTCTTTGGCTACTTTGGACAGACTATAGATGTCTACTCTTTGGTCATATGTGTAAGCCTAAAACCATTTAAATGTTGTTGCTATGTAGCGTTTACTGTATATGAAATATTTATTATACTTCTATCATACTTTTATTAAACTTATTCATTATAAAAGTATGATAGAAGTTTAATAAATATTTCATATACAGTAAACGCNTTACTGTATATGAAATATTTATTAAACTTCTATCATACTTTTATTAAACTTATTCATTATAAAAGTATGATAGAAGTTTAATAAATATTTCATATACAGTAAACGCTACATAGCAAAAACCTTTAAATGGTTTTAGGCTTACACATATGTCTCAACCTTAGCCTGATATCTTTTATCGCCGACATCTTCCGTATGTTTAGTAGCAGTCATTGAATCGATAGTCTTGTCGTGTATTGTCGCCAAACCAAAGTGACACAATTTTAAAAACCTACCGTTCCTCACATCCCGAGCCACCAAAATATTATCGGGTTTAAGATCCCTATGAATGACCGGTGGATCCAATTGATGCAAATACTGGACGCACTCTAAGAGTTCTTTGAATAACTGACACGATATGTAGAACTCGATTGAATTGATGAGTTCTTGCGGTTCTCTACCAAATACTTCTCGTTTGTGTTCAATAAACTTCTTTAGACTTCCCAAACATTACTCCATTACAATGTAATCATATCTCTCGTCTGTCATCGATCGTCGCAAAAATATATGAATCCATCGTTTGATAGGAAATATGTGTTCACTTCTGTCGCACATATAGTCTTAATATTAGTGATATTATCAACAAATTGTGGTTTCAATACATTTCCGGATAAATTATGTCCCAATTTATGGCGTTTATTTGAACCCCAACTAAACACATATCCATCTGAAGTGATGGCATATGAGGAGTAATTTCGGCAAAAAATGCTTTCAATCTTATAATCAATTGAGTTATGATTGAAATGCAGTTTCTTGGGCTCCAATTGTAAAACAGAATTATCATCTAAACCTAACTGTCCCTCTCTATTATCACCCCAACCATAGACATCGCTATCACTCGTGAGGGCCAACAAGTGATACAAACCACAACTTATTTGACCAATACTTTTGAGTTTAACAAATAACTCATTTTCTGGGTCTACGCTACCAAATGACGATATAATGATAGGTTTCAGACAATTATATATTGTCCCCAAATGCGATCCAAACATTTGACACCAAATGAATATACAGTTCCCATCACTTATGGCTATAATGAAGTGTCGGCCACAAAGAAACCGCTGTATATTCTGGTGACATAACTCTGGGATCAATTGGGGTTCGCTTACGTAGTCATTGTGTCCCAACCCAAGAGATCCCAATTTATTAGATCCCAAACCGTAGACCTTATCATCGTTTGTCTTGAAGAGTACATTATATCCTCTTTCGTCGAAAACATGAAATATTTCAATAGATTTAATCATATCTTGTGTCCAATTTTGTGTTCAATTCTGTGAATCACAGGATGTCTGGCTCACTGTCTGGCCCACTGCCTGGTCGGACATGTTTGTCGTGTTTTACTATTTAGAGTTTCATATAATTAATAAATGGTTTAATTATAACAGTATTTAAATACACGTTAACTTTAATTGAAAGTCAGACTCACTGTGAATGTGAAGGTTGAGGCAAACATTTAGTATTAATATAAGTGAGTAATCTATTGTTACCTTGTTCATTGGACAGGCATTTGTGCAAAACTGAATAAGATAAATTAACATTACTTAAGTTTTATAAAATGCTTGTCCTATGAACACTCATATACCACTGATACTTACTGTATTACTTATTTATGGTTCTACCCCAAAAGGCCTAAAACCGAAAAGGCCTAAACTTGAATAACTAACTGACCAGTGGACATATTTTTAATTAAATTAGTGGAATAGACATGTCTTGACCTAACCTAACCTAGCCTAACCTAAATTAAGCCAAATGACCATTGGTCAGTTAGTTATTCAAGTTTAGGCCTTTTAGGTTTTAGGCCTTTTGGGTGAGTCCCCTTATTTATATTACACACCAAATTTTGCATACTAATATTTTTATTAATATTTCAAAAATAAACTTTTTATTAGAATTTGTGTTAAACCTACCAGCCCCAGCATGTTTAACTTATAATAACCTAGTTGTTTAATGAATAATGACTTTAATTGCCGTTTATAGCTTGTATGTTAGATTATTTTACTTGCACAATTATTTTGACAATTATATACTAATAAAAATAATATAATTATACAAACAAATGAAATGATAATTGAATTCAAACGGGTTTTCAAAAATATCAAAATAATTATTTAGAAAAATTAGAAAAATATCCAATAAATAATGCAAATAGCGCAATGTGTGTTATTGAATGAGCACTGAATTTGACTCAAAACTAATTCACAACAAACTTATGATTTGGAGAATCCATTATATTATATCGGAGTCCAATAATTGATATCAAATATTCAAATCGTTTGCCACAAGGATCAACAGGTGATACAAACCGCAACCAATTTCACATATATTTTCGTTTTTAAGAATTGTCTCGTTTTGAGAGTTAATGCAATCCAATGACAATATATTAATAGGTTTTTCACAATTTATGGTTTGCATTCATTTTGTACCCAACGTATCATACCAACCGTATATGATAAAATACGGAAAATATGATTAAATCGATAAAAATATTTCATGTTTTCGACGACGAATACGGATGTAATGTATTATTCATAACAAATGATGATATGGTATACGGGTTGGGATCTAACTACTGGGGATCTCTTGGTTTGGGAGGCAATGACTACATCAATGAACCGCAAGTCATCCCAGAGTTGTGTCACCAGAATATTCAGCTTTTTCTTTGCGGACATCAATTGGTTTTGGCTATAAATGACAGAAACTGTATCTACTTCTGGTGTCAACCCCTGGGCTCCCATTTGTCTGCACTTATTAAATGCGAAAAACCGATAAATTTGTTTGAAATGGATTTCATGGGATTCATAGACAGAGAAAATAATGAGTTATTTCAGAAACATGAGAAAATTTCTGAAATAAGTTGCGGTTTAAATCACGTCCTGTTCCTCACGAGTGATGGCGATGTCTACGGATGGGGTGAGAATAGAGAGGGACAGTTAGGTTGCAGTCACCCTTCAGTCATTGAACTTGAGCCCAAAAAACTGCATTTCAATCATAACTCAATTGATTATAAGATTAAAAGCATTTTTTGCCGAAATTTCTCCTCATATGCCATCACTTCAAATGGATATGTGTTTAGCTGGGGTTCAAACCATTGCTATAAATTGGGACATATTTTGTCGGAAAATGTATCGAAACCACAATTTGTTGAAAATATCAGTGATATTAAGACTATATGTGCGACAGAATTGAGTTCATATTTCCTATCAAACAATGGATTCATATATTTTTGCGGACAATATGTGAATGAAAGCGGAGATGAGTTCATACAAAAGACACCAAAAGTATTGAATAGCGATAAGAAATGTGAAGAAATGCATGTAATCTATAGCCATAGAAAGAGTGAAGAAGAAAAGCATATCATAACGGCTCTAATGAATGGGAAAATATACTCAATACTGAACACAACAGAAATGATTGAAAGAAATTACGAGAATTTCTTTGATTACTATACAGACGAACACCAATTGACTCATAAAACGATTCATTTAAACGATTATAAAGAATATAATTGCAATTCAAATGAATTTGACACAAAATGTGTAGAATTTTTGGACAAATTGTTTTACAGAATTAAAAAAAGAGTTGATGGTATAATAACTTTATACCTGTTTAAGAATTATATGAATTAAATTATATTTATTTATTTTAATTGAATAGAGATTAATCCATCAAATAATGCATTCACTGATTGAATGGACAGATTTGATACGTTGTGTCCCATAGGAAAGGGATCCTTTGGTGAGGTGTGGAAAGTAAAGCATAAATCTGATGGTCAGGAATATGCCGTCAAATTAATTCGCGGCCGCCGTCTAATGCATAGCTCACTGACAGACAAATGGCATAACTTTTGTGTAAAACTCAATGAATGATAAAAGTTTTGATAATTTACTACAAATTCATTATTTTATGGAAATATTATTTATTATACAAAAATTTTATAATAAAATCATTTTAAAATGCCTTTATTGTCACTATACAATTCATTATATATATATTAATATTAATTCAATTGTGTATCAGTTGAACCAAGTTTAGTTTTAAAATATTCTTGAAAAAACAGGCCATCAGTTGATTGCTGTGTATTTGCCGATGAAATAAAGTTGTCAATCAAATCGCTTTCAATATAACTCTCATGAATAGACCATAAGTTATATTCGGATAACACTTGTGAGCACTCGGGTCTGTCTGTCCAGTGAGGGCCGGGTTTGTGCGGGTAATGCCAGTTATAGTATGACATGGATTGTAGGAAGTCTTGTAATTTAAGAACACGTTTACGTAGAACTTCGTTATTAGTGTTATTAGTGCTGTCCATTCAATATAATAATTACACATATGAGCAATACTATTAACTAGCATATATTTATATTTAATAGTAATTTATTTTATAGTTTTTCTAAACTATTGACTCGACTTACAGTTTGTCGTTGAAATTCAAACCAAAGATTTCTTCGCCGATTTTGGACAGACTATAGATGTCTACCCTGTGGTCATATTTCGCACAATTAGCCACTTCTGGCGCCTGATATCTAGTGTCGCCGACATCTCCCGTATGCCTATTATTAGTCATTGAATGGATATTCCGGTCGTGTACTGTCGCCAAACCAAAGTCACCCAGTTTAAAATACCGCCCATTCGTGACGTTTAGTGCCACTAATATATTGTCGGGTTTGAGGTCCCGGTGAATGACCGGTGGATCCAATTCATGCAAATACTGGACGCACTCTAAGATCTCTTTGAATATATGACACGAAATGTAAAACTCGATTGAATTCATGATCGCCTGATATCTAGTGTCGCCGACATCTCCCGTATGCTTATTATTAGTCATTGAATGGATATTCCGGTCGTGTACTGTCGCCAAACCAAAGTCACCCAGTTTAAAATACCGCCCATTTGTGACGTTTTGTGCCACTAATATATTGTCGGGTTTGAGGTCCCGGTGAATGACCGGTGGATCCAATTGATGCAAATACTGGACGCACTCTAAGAGCTCTTTGAATATATGACACGAAATGTAAAACTCGATTGAATTCATGAGTTCTTCAGGTTTTCGGTGAAATACTTGTGGTTTGTGTTCAAGAATTTTCGTAAGACTATTGGAACACAACTCCATTATTATGTAATAATATTTTTCATGACCAATGGTTGCGTTGATATATTGGACCACATATTTTGAGTCCAATTTCTTTAAGCAATCCATTTCCGCGACAAACTGATCCAATTGTCGAGAATTATCATTTCGGTTGAATATATCAGCTATAAGTTTATAATTAAAATTATTTGTAAAGTCAATTTTCCATAATTTATACATTACATTGTAACTCTATTTGTTTGACTGCATGTTCTTGCCCATTGGTTATATCTCTAGCCTTATACACACAACCAAAACCACCCTCACCAATTTTAGACAATATTTCCAAATTGTATTGATTAACGCTACTCGTCATGTCATTGATAGCTAAATAAATAATTTATTAATAAAAATACTTTATAATAGATAGTCATTTTAAATATACTAGTATATGATACCAGAGAATTGTGTCTCCAATCTATCTGTTATTTTGAATATTCTTTTGCATTTCGTTAAAATCATCTGAATTAGGCCAGTGTTTGGTTGATTTAAGTGATCCTGTTTAATTCTGTCAACCATTTTTCCCAAAAATTCAATACATTTTGTACCAAAGTTTTCAATTGTATTGCAATTATATTCCTTATAATCGCTTAAATGAATCGTTTTATGAGTCAATTGGTGTTCGTCTGTATAGTAATCAAAGAAATTATCGTAATTTGTTTCAATGATAGTCTTTCCCGATATTTCATATATCTTTCCATTCATTAAAGCGGTTATATATTCTGAATCGTGTTCTTTAAACCATTTTAAATTCTGACACAATTTTTGACATTTTGTGTCATCAATTAAACATGGTGATATTTGTATTAACTTTTCTCCGCTTTCATTCACATATTGTCCGCAAAAATATATGAATCCATTGTTTGATAGGAAATATGTGTTCACTTCTGTCGCACATATAGTCTTAATATCATTGATATTATCAACAAATTGTGGTTTCAATACATTTTTCCATGAATTTAAGTCTTGATTTTTAATTCTTGACATTTTGTGTCATCAATTAAGCATGGTGATATTTGGATTAACTTATCTCCGCTTTCATTCACATATTGTCCGCAAAAATATATGAATCCATCGTTTGATAGGAAATATGTGTTCACTTTTGTCGCACATATAGTCTTAATATCACTGATATTCTCAACAAATTGTGGTTTCAATACATTTTTACATGAATTTAAGTCTTGATTTTTCCCCCATTTAAACACATGTCCGTCACATGTGATGGCAAATGAACAGAATGTGTGACAAAAAAGTTTTTCTATTTTATAGTTAACTGAGTCGTGTATGAAATGTAACTTTTGCCGCTTATATACAAGGACTGATTGATTATCGCTGCCAACCTGTCCGTGTCTATTATCACCCCAACCATAGACATCGCCATCGATTGTAAGGATTAAGAAGTAAGACAAACCGCAACTGATTTGACGGATATTGTGGCGATTGAGTGCCAAATCGTTTTCCGGGTTCACGTACTTCACTGACAGCATATTCATTGGTTGACCACAGTTAAGTAAATTAAATAAATTCTTGGCAATCATATGGTACCAGAAGTATATACAATCGCTATCATTGAAAGCGAGTCCATACTGCTCTTTACAGAATAATTGATGTATATTCTGGTGACACAACTCTGGGACCAATTGTGGTTCGCTTACGTAGTTATTGTGTCCCAACCCGAGTGGTCCCCAATAATTAGATCCCAAACCGTAGACTTTATCATCATTTGTCACGAATAGGACATTATATCCTCTCTTGTCGTTGAAAACATGAAATAATTTAACGGTTTTTATGATAATTTTATCGAATTTATGAGTATTTTTCTGTGAATCTTGTTTTAAATTCTGTAAACTACTGAATGTTTGTCCCGTTGTCCCCAACCGAGTGCTTCCACTCGCAAACCGTATGACATCCGGTGCCTTACATATAGAGATGTAATTATTACGTGAGAATCACTTATATTTCGGTATATTTTATACGGAAGAGTCTCTAAACCACGGCTTAAATATGACTATAGTATAAAGTTCTACTAATCGAAATCGAAAAATAAAATGTCAATTTTAAAAATCCATCAATAACGTCATAGCGTAT